AATTTTGACTCAATAAAGCAGTTTCTAAGGTTTTTTCAAGTAAGCCACAGAACTTGTGGTGTTAGAAAATATTTAAATACAAAGATGCTCAACATTGTGTTAGTTACAATAACAAACATTTGGAAACAACACTGGTCCTTTGCTTCTCCCACCAAAATAGGAAAGACAAAGAAAAATATTAAGATGGTTGAAAATAAAAACAAAAATGTGTTGGGCTATTTATTTTGTAGTTATTAAAGTAATATTTATAGATGTTGTAGTAGCATGCGAAAAGCTCCGGTCGTAATGGTGAAAGTGCTTCAGTATTCTCTAGGGGAAAGTGCTTTATAGGAATCCCATTTGGCCTTCAGGAATGAATGACTAGTGCAATTCATGTTTTCTTTTTTTGAGCCACACAAGCTCTGCATTGTTCCAGAACACAGCATATATACATCTACTATCATGCCTTAGCCCTTGACAGTCTGTTTTTAATAGATCTCCCTTTTCCTTTCATCTATTTCAATTTTAGATGTCCTCCAAGTCAGTCATTCTACTTCCTTCTATAACGTTTTCATGGTTATTCTAGAACACAAAACTTTCTCATCTCTCAGACTTCTAGAACTGTATTTTCAATTACAATCTCATACCATTCGACTGAGTCTCAAGCAGTAAAATGTCATGAATGTCCCATCACTAAGTTTATAATATAGAAGTTTGCAGTTGCCTTACTTGTTTAAAGGAAGAAATAAAATGCAAGATTTAAGCATCTGGCATCAACAGCCAGATTCCCTTGGCTTAAAGCCCAACCTCTACCATGAGACCTTGTGGAATTTACATGAGGTTTCTCAGCCTCAATGTTCTCATCTGCAAAATGGAGATAATAACACTACCCATATCCCTTTCTTATGTTGTAATGATATCTATCTATCATCTATCTATCTATCTACCTATCTATCTATCTATGCCCTAATCTCCCACAATCAAAAACCTGATCCTTTTTATCTTAATTTGGATTCTTAATAAAGCCGATGTGATATACCCGAGTGCTTAGAATCTTGGCTTTGATTATACAGCCTTCCGAACTTGCACCCTGTATTCAACTAATAACGATGCTCATTGTATCCAGGAGTCTGAAGGTGCTGAACATTGGTTGGGTTGCCAGGGGTTGATCTGGACTGCAAACACTGTTTTCCTTCAGTTACTCCACTGGAGAACAGGATACCACTTCAGGAGAAATTTTTCAACCATAACAACTTACAAACATTATGTAAGAGTCTCCAGTGGTACTTTATGGGGTAGGTTTCATGTCCATATGGGACAGCTGCCACAGGTTGGACAGAAATTGCTCATACATTCATTGTCTTTTTCTTAAAAAGTTGGTTTGGAAGGATGTATGTTTGAAAAGTGACCAAAGTTGCATAACCAACTCCCTTATGTATCATCAGGTAAGGATAAAAACAAATTGAGATAAACTAAAGATCTCTACTTTTGATAGCATCTTGCTGTGTCTTCACATTTTGGAAATTTCTATTTTATTATTCCTTTGAGAGTCCACTGTGCCCTCCCCAGCCAGGCCCTCTCTTATCCACAAAGGTTGAACAAAAAGGAGTTAATCCTATCCATCCCAAATCAGTCCTCTGGCTTCATACTTACTAGAAAGCACCAATAATGAGGGAAGGGAAGACTATTTCTGAAGAGCTTGACAAAACTAAGGGAATACTCAAGAAATTATTATAAATAATGTATTAATCCAAATAACTTGTATTTCTTATTTTGACTGTGGTCAATTCCTTCAATAAAATATACTTCGACACAGCAAAATTCTATCATTTCCACAAGTGAAGAATTTCAGACTTATTTGTTCTTGTTTTTACCAGAGGGTACCCTGGGTGCCATCTTCTACTCTGCAGAAGCTCTTACCTGGCCTGTGAGTGGGACGCATGCTTGCTGAGAGTCAGATGCATGCTTGCTGATAAAATCACTAGCTTTGTAAAATGACTAAAAGCAATGGTCCTTACCCAACTGGGGGAGAGGGAAGTTAGTTACAGGGGGGACAAATATTTGAATTGCACAGGGAACCAAGGTGTGCTTGCCAAATGTCACAAATATTCAAGGAATTTTGATTTGTCCTGGCTGGATGCCCAGAAACGAAGATAGAGTTTCACATAGTTGTAGCCCACAGTGTAGGCACTGAGCAATTTCACAGAAAAGAAAATAGGAAGGTGTTAAAAAAATGGTATTTAAGGTTTTGCGTGTTGAGTCTCCTGCTCATCAGATTTGACAGTGTTCCTTTAAAAATCAGCATCTCACCTCCGTTGATTTTCAACTTCACACTTTTTTTTAAAGGTAGACATCTTCTATTTTTAGCCTGATGGATGAATTAAATTAAAGAAGAACAGTATCCATAGAGATGAACACCTCAAAAAATTGTGAAATTACTTTTGGAGAAAGTGAGTGGAATGAGCTTAAATGGTCACAGGAATGCTGTAATGCGATTTAGCTGAAATTTGGGTTGCTTTGACTTAAATCTTCATGTTTCCCTTGTCTTGCTATTAAACTGATGGCTATTTCAGTTGCCTCTGAACTTCTTACATGAGCTCTGACATTACAATCTGGACAACCTTATGTGTGTTCTGCAATCTTTCTCTATAGGTTTATATTGTTCTTTGCTATTGGGAACCAGACTTAAACTTAGAGATTGGTGTTTGCTGGGATTCTTAGATAAAGACATGTAATTTCAGCTTTAGATGGACCTACAAGAATTCACTAGTTTTTATTAATAAGATCTGCAAAAAATTAAAAGGATCCCTGAAGTGATAAAATCATATAGGTATTCACATACAAGTACTAGGCAAAATTTAAATTCGGCCTCTGTCATTCCAGAGTTCTTTTCACTGTCTTTTTAATTTAATTTTTATTTTTAATTTTTGTGGGTGCATAGTAGGTGTATATGTTTATGAGGTACATGAGCTATTTTGGCACAGTGCATAACAATCACTTTATGGAAAATTGAGTATTCATCCCCTCAAGCATTTATTGTTTGTGTTGTGAACAATCCAATGATACTCCTGTAGTCATTGGAATACTCAAGTTTTCAGTAGAAAAGTTTTAATAAGATACATTTTTATGAAGCCAAACATTTCTTGTTGTTTCTGCAGGCAAATAGCAGCAATAGCCGCATCATCCCGTATGACCAGTGGACCAGGGGACTAGTTCTTCTCCAGTTTGATCAGACCTCCCTATGAACATCATCAGCGAATCCTGCATTTGAAGGAATCAAACAGGCCAAGAAATGGCTGAGAGGTCTTTAAGGATGAGAATATCAACGTTGCTTATCTTTGCTCAGTCTGGCTCCAGCCCTGTTGGCATCTACCGTGTTCTTTCTGCATCCCCAAGTGCCAGCCCAACAACAGCAGGCACTGAAGTAAAACTAGCGAGATCTGTCCCTGAGTGATAGTTCTCGCTGGAGTCCTCAGAATAGCTCCAGGCCTTGGCGCTACTCTTATGTCTAGAAGATTTTTATCTTACTCTTCTAGCTTCTAAGCCAATTTCAAATTTCTAATTTTTCATAAAATGTTCTGCAGTTCCAGACAGCGCTGTCAGATGTATCTTTCTCAATCACACTTACAGTCCATTTCACCCAGTTGGGCATACTTTTCTCTGAGTAGCAAACTTTCTGTGCTTTTTCATGCTTTTCCCCCTACCCTGTGTTCTCAATAAGACTACAGTTATAAAAATCAAGGCTCGGCTGGACACCATGACTCATGCCTGTAATCCCAGCACTTTGGGAGGCAGAGGTGGGTGGATCACAAGGTCAGTAGTTTGAGACCAGTCTGGCCAACATGGTGAAAGCTCGTCTCTACCAAAAATACAAAAATTACCTGGCATGGTGACAGGTGCCTGCAATCCCAGCTACTCAGGAGGCTGAGGATGAGAATCTCTTGACCCAGGAAGGTGGAGGTTGCAGTAGGCTGACATTGTGCCACTGCACTCCAGCCTGGGCAACAAGAGTGAAACTGTCTCAAAAAAAAAAAAATCAGGGCTCATATTCTTTGTTTTCTATCCCTCACTCCTTGTATACCCTAGCCTACTTCTATCTCCCCTCTTACCACTCCTTCTCACCTTCAGCACCCTCCAGCCATCTGGAACTATTTGCAAATTCCGATTTTTCACAGAGGACCCCTGTGCTTTATGTCTCTATTTGTTTCTTTGCTTTGGAGTATCCTTTTTCTTTTTCTTTCTCTCTTTTTTGTTTCCTCCCATATTTCTACAACAAAATCAGCTCAGGCCTTCTGTTTGATGTCTCCCTAACACTAGGATTGACAGGCAGTCATCAGCACTTATCACCAATATTCAGGTTCTCTTCTCCCCCATTCCATGGTAACAATGCACTTCAGCCCCTACTGAAGTTGGGTGTGCCCACATGGCCTTATTTGGCCAAGAGAATGTGAGTGGAATTAATGTTTGCTACTTCCAGGTAGAAGCTTTGAAAAGCTAGCACATGCTTCCCCCACTGTGTTTTCTCTCACTACAATAACCTTCCAGATAATGGAACCTCATTACCATCTAAGAACGAGGACAAAGTGGAAGAAGGGCCTGTCATGTGTGATGGGAATGAAACACAGGCACGGCATGGCCGTTGTTACTTAGACCACAGAGATGTTAGTTTGTTTATTACAGCAGCATAGCAACTCATCAAGACAATGCAATTGACTTAATAGCTCCCTCTTGTGTGCCTACAGCACCTTGCCTTGCTTCCACCTTAAACTTACTCAACTGCATTGTCGTTATTTCACTTCCTGTCTGTCTTGCCAGGAGACCATAAACTCCACAAGAATATGGCTTGTATTGATACATCCTCTGTACCCAACACAGTATTTGGCACATGATAACCGCTTAAAACACACATGTTTAATGGGTGAATAAAAAGTGCCTGCCCCATGCTAAATACATCCTGAAGTTAACAATGGTATTCTTGGAGTTTTGCCCATCCCACATGGGCAAATGATTAATCTACTCACAGTTGTGACAGGTGGCACCAGCGTAACTTGTGTCACTGCAGTTACAATAAAAAGTAGTCCAGGACTGGGAGCAGCTTCCTCCATGTTCACAGTAGTTTGGCAAACACCTAATGAAAGAAAACATAAAAGAAAAAAATAAATTAAATAAACCAAATCAGTTGACAGAAAGGGGAAAGCAAAAATGTCTTAAATCCAACTGCTGCAATGATTACTAGATACTGATTTGCTGTTCTCCCATACCTAAGTCAGACTTGAATGACGACAAAATAGTATGAGCATTATGGTTTTCACAAAAGGTAGAGTCACTTTGCATTACTGGGCAATGAAAGTCTCAGAGCTGATGTAGGTGTTTAAGTTAAGGATTTTAATATTGAGGCAAATTCATGTTGACTTAAAGTTAATTTGAAATGGTCAGAATTTGTAAGGCTTTTCACTTACCAAAAACCAAAATGTATAAAGATAACCATTTTATGTTTTTTAATAGTTTTGCATTTTTAAAGGAGAGGCAGATAATTGAGGTCATTGTCCTCATGCTTCTCTTTTGGGGAATGACCAGGTATCTATTTTAAACTGCACAAAGACAATGTGAAATTAGAAAAGATGATACATGTTCATCTAAAATGCGAGGACATTTTATCATTTATAAAACTGAAAATGCCATCCTTAAAACAAAGGCTTCTCTACTTAGGGTCAAATTAATATCGCTATTCTGCAAAGTATTTTTATCACACACGTTAAAAACTCTATAAAATATTTATATAATTTGAATCAGCAATCACATTAAGATGACCCTATCTTAAGGCTATTGTTCAAAATGTGAAAAAATATATATGCTAATTCTTGTTATTCGCAATGATGCCATTCATTATGTGAATCAACGTAAGTGTCCAATATTAGAAAATTACTTAGGAAATCTGTGGTACATAAAATTAATGGACTATCATAAAACTACCACAAACGATGTGGACAAAAATGGCTGTAACAGACCAGGACTACATTAGGTAAAAATTTAAGATACAAAGCATGAGCACAACAAAATAAAACACAGGCTTTATAAATTTCAAAAACAGTGGAAAGAAAAAAATCTTTAGAATTAGGCTAATGGGAGTGGAGGTAACGTTTATTAATTCTGGACGGAAATCATAGACTTTAAGGAAAGAAATCATAGATTTAATCAAATCGCATACATTGCATGGGAACTTTTGAGTTATAGTCTGTACCTCGTATGCTGTGTTATTAAGAAAGAATCTGGCTGGTGCTCAGCAAATGTAGTGAATTGAGAGTAAAAACAAAGACACATGCTGTAATTTTTTTAAAACAATCTTTATAGCGTCTTAGAGAGCAAAGGAAAATAAATTCCGTGAATTTAAAAAGAGAGAGGGTAAAAGCAGTGAAGTTACGGAAGTGGTGTAATACAATAAATGGGTTCGTTGTGAAACCAGTAAGAATCTGATGCAAGCAAAAGTGAGATGATTTACTCTAACTGCCCTACATAGGTAGGAAAGCCTCCAGCAATGATTGTTCCAAAGCCCAGAAACTAATATTCCTGCATATGTTTCGACATATTATTAGAAATTTTCTGCTCAGCACAGCAAACTTACTATTGTGCTGATGGGGCTTAGGTTTGAGAAAAGCTTGTTGATAACTTTATGGAATTCAATGATGGCCTAAAGTACAGAAAATATTTTCAAAAAGGGACCCATAGTTCTGCTATGAAATGTGTTCACGCAAAACAACTAAAGAAATGAACAAATAAAAAAGTGGTCCCTCTCCTCTTTATTCCCACCCACTCTCCTGGTCTTGGTGGAGAGAGAAGGCCACAGGCTTGTCCCTTGGGTAACTTGGAGATCCTATCCTGCTCTATGCTGGCAGGGAAATTTCAAAAACTTGGAGCCTCGATGTTCTCGTTCAAGTAAGGATCTTCTTCTCCAGGCATGTTCTGAGGAGACCTTGTGGGGCTAGCACTGTTTTGAATGGCTCCCTGTCCCCACACCCCTTTTTCGTTCATATCCCAGAATCCTCCTGCTTCTGAAATAATGCTTCTCCTGCAGTTTACCTTTTGCCGTGATTTTCTTTTCTGAAGCTGCCCAGTGTTCCCATGACCTTTCCATAGCTCCCTTTGCCTCATCCCATCCCCCTCCCACAGCACACACTTAAACACTCGCAGAGATTTCCATAATGAGCAAATGATAGTATTACTGCTGCCATCCCCCAACAAGTAAGACATTGCTTTAATAAAGAAAAACTGAGCAAAGCACACTCAATAGCTGCTTATTCTGTAGTTCTTTGGTCTTGGGCATCAAGAAAGTTCAGGGTTGCTTCTTTTTGGTGGCTGAAGCGATAAAATAAAAAACCCAGACATTCTCAGTGGTCGTATTTTCAGACATAAGAAGAAAGTTTGTCTGCAGTGAAAGAGAGACAGAATAAATAAAAAATTATATGCTGACATGCAGAATGCAGCAGAAAAGGGGGATGGCAGCACCCTGCCGATACTGTGTGGTTGGTCTCTGCTGCTCTTGGGACTTCATTGCACGCATGAACTTCCTGAGGGCTGGCTGTTTTCATCTATCTTGGATTTTGTGAATAGCCCAACCCTTTTCCAGGAAAATTCTCATTGCAATGAGGCTAGCTGGAGCTGGGATTCCCTTACTTTCTACTAACAGAATTTTAACATTGGGTAAGAAAGAAGAATCCTGTAATTACAAGAATAAAAATAAGCATTTTTTTCACACACACACACAGACACACACACACACACAAATATATATTTTAAACGGAGTCTTGCTCTGTCACCCAGGCTGGAGTGCAGTGGCACCATCTGAGCTCACTGCAACCTCCACTTCCCAGATTCAAGCGATTCTTCTACCATAGCCTACCGAGTAGCTGGGATTACAGACCCCTGCCACCATGCCCAGATAATTTTTGTATTTTTAGTAGAGATGGGGTTTGCCATGTTGGTCAGGCTGGTCTTGAACTCCTGACCTCAGTTAATCTGCCCACCTTGGCCTCCCAAAGTGCTAGGATTACAGACATGAGCCACCGAACCCAGACCACTTTAAATATTTAATCGACTTTGGCATATAGATTAAATCTACTTTGGCATGTAAGGAGAAGGGTTTAGGGGAAAGCTCTAAGAAATATCTGGGCACTTAGAGCATATTTTAATATGCCTCACACAGACCTTGTTTTGTAGTGTTAGACTCAATTTACCAATAAAATTGTAGGTATTAACTTCCTAGAAACTTATTTGTCTGCCGTCACTCAGAAAAACCAATGATGCTTTCCTGGAAGGGTAAAAGAGTACTTGGGTAAGGAAAAATCTAGTTTTCCTAGAATGAGAAAAAAAGAATGAATGAACATTAGTAGAGCTGTCTTCAAGCTTGGTTCATTTTGGTTCAATGCTCATTGTGATTAGAAAAACTATCTGTAAAGTAGATGCTTGAGAAAAACGATACATAAGACCAATTTTCTTATTTAAAAAGGGCAGTTTTATAAGTATAATTTCCATACTCTTTAATTAGTTCGTTTTAACTGCTATTTTGTTTCTTTCTCTCCTTCTTGACATAAACTGAGCATTGAAGACATTAACCCAGAAAAAGACTCCTTGTAGAACTGGGATGTGAAAAGAGTGAATTAAGTGTGAGGGTGCTCACTCTTTTAGGTGTAAGGCTCTTAATTCAAATTCCTAGGAGCTAAACACGTTGAACATCTATCTTCTAAATCCTAATGATATTGCGTCTATAACTGCATCTGGATGGATGCATCTTCCTTTGGTGCATAATGTTTAACAAAGAAAGCTTTTAGCGTGGACACAATAACTTTCCTCTTACTTCCCAAAGCCCAGATTAGCTAGCATGGTAATGTGTCCCAGGGAAAACTCAGACAGTGTGACAGACACATCGGAAGCTGTTAGCCTCTGTCTAAAAGTAGAATGTGCTTGTCTTATGGGAAATGAGAGAAAGGGTTAAAGAAAGTCAGAGAAGAGATAGGAATGAAATGAGAAAAAAATCAGAGGATTAAAAGTCTTTATAATTTTTATACAGATAAAAACTTCTTCCAAATGAGAAGGATCATTGCTAGGTGGGGCTATTGACAATCTAGGTAATAGGTAAAGTGAGAAGGTTTATCTAGACTAGTCTGTGGAGCCAAGGTCACGGTCCATCCTCTAGAGGTACATGATTTGGGCCTCATAGTGGTTGTTTTGTGTTGTATTTGGCTGCTCATGGGAGATATGAAGAAATAGAATATTTCTTGTTAAAGGCAAACGCACAGCAATGGAGACAGCCAAAGAAACTGCTTCAGAGCAGGAAGAAGATTTTGTAGGATGTTGCGAGATTGAGCCACTACGTAGACTAGAGACAGACATTTCTGAGGATTTAAAACGAAGTCCAATTTCAAGCATCCCAGCAAGCACACTTTCAGCAGAGCATGCTGTCTCTAGATCAGCCTTAGGAAGAACAAAAGGACCCCCGCAGCTTTCCTTCAGGAAGATCAGAGTGGTTATTTTTCTGTAACTTAGCTTTAACTGGGGCCAGGCTGAAGTTTCCAGCTGGAGTGGATGAGGTCTGGAAAAAGTGTGATGAAAGCAATGGGAATCAAGACAGTTCAGGGAAATGCAGTCTGTCAGTTTGTTTTTAATTTGGAAAGTTTCACAGCAGAAATATGAATTTTTGGCTTCTCTTAAAGCAAAAATCAGATTACTGAGCAAAGTCAAAGCAAAACTCATGGCTACACACCAGTGATGTCAACATTTAGATTTTAGTTCAGTCTTCACTCGTGAATTCCAGACCCCTCTGCCCAGCTGTCTGCTGGACAGCTCCAGGCAAGTGTTTAATAAATATTCCAAACTTTGTGTACCCAAACTGGACTTTCCAATCTCCTCCCTCACCCTGCCCCCACCGTTTGCTTCACTGTGTTCTTCACTATCACAGTTGATGCCAATATCCTCCTTACCAGTATCCAGGTTCCTAAACTTGAAGATCCTCTCCTTCTCTCATAGCCCATATCCAAGATGTGACTAATTCCTGCTGGCTGGGCCTTCAGAAGCTGTCCTGAATCTCACCACTTATCACCCATCTCGATGCTGGTCTGAACTGATCCGAAAGCA